TATACGTATATGTTAATATTCATTTATATATTCCTACAGCCGACGCCTCTGCCGCCGTATATGCCTCGTGTATAATGTTCCCTCCGCCATGCCCGCCCACATAAACACGACTATACCTCATGCATGATACGTTTACGTACTGAAGTCCCTTTAAATATATATATATTCTAATTACTATTAAAACTTATATATTAATACACTTTATTCTCATTAAGAGATATGTAGTGTATTCATTCCGATTACGGAGGATGATTCTCGTATCGTTATTTTTCGTCACTACCTCCACGTTACGCGCCTGCTGCTTTCCTTGGATGTGGTAGCCGTTTCTTAGACTCCCTCTCCGGAATCGAACCCTTATTTCCCGTTACCCGTTACAACCATGATATTGATATTAACTACTATCATAACATGAAACTAAAAAGTGAAAAATAAANGTCCAGTGAAAGCTGAAAAAAGTAGTCACAGACATAAAAAATATAGTTTAAAAAAACTAAAAAACACGCTTTTAAAGCACATCGAACTAAAAAGTTAAAAATAATTTTTAAAATTAACTTAAAACAATAATGAACGAAAAATACTAGTATTATTGTGAAAAAAATCGTCGGGCGCTCAATATACGAAAATTATGGCACAAAGCACCCACGCTTTTATCACAATAATACTAGTATTTTTCGTTCATTATTGTTTTAAGTTAATTTTAAAAATTATTTTTAACTTTTTAGTTCGATGTGCTTTAAAAGCGTGTTTTTTAGTTTTTTTAAACTATATTTATTTTTCACTTTTTAGTTTCATGTTATGATAGTAGTTAATATCAATATCATGNTTTATGTCTGTGACTACTTTTTTCAGCTTTCACTGGACCAATATTTCTTAACGATACATTAAAAGATAACAAATTGTATCTTTACAAATTTTTCTCTACCTTTCAAGAAATGATGGGAGTCCCTTCAAAAATTACGATTATTAAAATTGGTAAATTTTTTCATGTATTTTTTAAGATGTCATAACTTATTGAAAAATAAAAAAACCAAATAGTTTTTTTATATCTTACGTATTTTCCTTTTATTTAATATAATTTTTTTTGAAAATCTTGCCAATAACAAGGGATTCAAAATAGAATTTTTTTTACGAAAAGTTAACTTTATCAACTTAAAATAGAAGGTTTTTTACTACGCCAGCTATTTGCACCTAGAAGATAAGTCGTTGGGAAATTTTTTTTTCAATTTATAGGACGTAACATTAAAATTATATATAAAGGACGCAGTATTACCGAAAAATGTTCAAAAGTTAAGTTGAAAAAATTGACATTTATAAAAATGTTGCTATTTTAATTCCATCTCTGTGAGCAGATAAAAGGTCAGATTATCAAATGAAAACAAAATACCTAAGTTTTTTATATTAAAATATTTATTGTAATTTTGTTGATTTTTGAAACAGTCATGGCTATTTTAAGAAAAAAATATCAAAATTTCCCTCATATACAG